CCCGTCGAACCCGCGCCGCAAGAAGAGGCGCAAGGGCGCGTCCGCCCCGATCGTCCGCACCAAGAGCATCGCCCCGGTCGGCGGCAGCAACGGGTTCGGATGCCTGCTCGGAACGGACGGCGACGAGGGCATCCTCAGTGGCACCGGCAAGGTGCCCCGCGGCTCCACGCCGTCGACCACAGACTCGGTGCTCGCCGCCTGCATACATGCGGCCTCCTCCCCCGCTCGCCGCTCAACCGCCAGTCTCGCGCCCTCCTGTTCAGGGCGCGACGGCCAACGTCGAGACGACCACGATTGCCACGCCGGAGGGCTCTGCCGCCGGCCGGTTCTCGTGGCCAAAGTCCTACAACTTGCTCCGCCTCTTTGGCATCCTCGCGCTGCTCTGCCTCGGAACCGCGTTTGCGCTCTCCTCGTACTCTGCCACCTCCGCGCTTCTCTCCTCGCAGTGGCACGAGTCCCCGACTTCCTTTCCCGCAGTCACAACGCCGTTCACGCCGGCATCGCTCAACGGCGTCTGCGAGATTGGCGGCGACGACACCAGCTCGTTTGCAGCCATCGCCTCTTCGGACAGCGTGCCCGCCGACCACCCGGTGCTTGCTCGCTCGCGCTTGCTAGTACCCGCACCGCGCCAGCTCGTGACCCACAGCCCGCGCGCTGTTGAGGGCGGGCACGAGGAGGGGCGCTTGTTGGAAGCACTGATGGGCGACGTCAAAGAGGCGGTGGGCGAGCCGTTGCACCTGATTGGCGAGCCGCCGGCGTCCATCATCGAGGACGTTTACGAGAAGCAGCCGGTGAGCGCCCCTCGGCTGTTTCTGTGTGCGAGGGAGCTTTGGTCACCCGCTGACGTATTGCCTGTTGTTTGCGTGTAGGACGAGGCCGACTTGGAGACCGTCCTGGCCTCGCGCAACATCACGGAGCGCAAGGGCGAGCCTGTGGTCGACTTTGTCGGTCCCGTCTACAGCAACAGATCGGGGATCATCGTTTGCGAAACCGTCCTGCTCATGAATGTCACGGCGCCCGAGTTGCGGCCCGCCGACGCTCGGAAGCCTGGGATGCTGGAGGTGCGGAGGCTGGTTGAGACTCGCTTGAGCGCACCCGTCTCTAGCATGCACGCCGGCGGCGAGTGGCGGGCGAACGACGGATTGGGGAACGCTTCTCGAATCCCAACCCAGGATCTCTTTCTCCAGCGTGGCCGGGCCGTCGACCCTCTTCTCGCGGGCGAGCCGGCGTGGCTTGCAGCGGTCCGCGCCGCTCAGATCGCCGACTCGAACGCGGTCGAGTCAGATGTCTTCTCGGTCTCAAGTGTGTGCGCCGCCCCTGCGTGGCAGGTGGAGCCTCGCCACGCACTCACCGACGAGCTCCACAAGACCGACGAGCCTCCCGCCGGCCCGCCGGCCGACGATCTCTCAAGCGACCAGCCCTCCCCGTTCCCCTTTCCCTTCACGAGCGGACCCTCCTCTTCCGCGCCTGGCCGCGCCCAGCAGCGCGGTCAGCTTTGGGCCTTGTTCTTGCTCGCGTGCGGGCTGCTCTCGGTGCCGGTGCGGTGCCTGACGGGGGCAAGGCGCGGCGCGTGGCTGCTTCTTCTCGTCGCGCTGCTCCCGCTGGCAAGTGCACCGTCGTCGCCACCGTCTCCGCCGCCGCCGTCTCTGCCCCCACGCTCACCGCTGCCGCCGTCATCGCCGCCGCCGCTGCCGCCGCCGCTTCCGCCGCAGGATTCACCACAGGATTCAGTCCTTGAAAGCAGGATGGGCAGGCAACATCCGGCTGCGTGTCTTCCTGGCTCTGCGTCAAACGCCTTATCCGCAGTGGACGGATTTCATGCCAAGATCTTCATTTATGATGCTGTAAGCCTTGCGCCGCGTCCTGAGCCTCCGTGGTGGCCGCTCTACAAGAACTTCTCATCGAGGCCGCAGCTGCTAAACCATGGGCCTAACCATGATCCCGAGTGGCCCGATTTTCTGATCCAGCAGCAGCTTCGATCAATGCTTGCGTCGGGAACGTTCCCTCACTTACAGCTGGCAATGAGCCCCAACGATGCGCACATAGTTCTCTGGCTCCTCTGGGACTATGCCCTCTGCCGCGCCTCAGGGGTGAAGCTTGACCGGTGGGAGGAGCAGAAGGGGCACGTTTGGGGCTCGTGCAGGGCGCATGACGAGCTGCTCGCGTCAGTCATGGAGACTGAGCGATGGCGGCGGCACGGTGGCCGTGATTTTGTGTTTGTCACTGACGACCCCTGGCACTGGAACTCACAGCCGCCCGCCTCCGGCCATCGCGTTCCGGTGTGGCCTGCAGCGCGCGAGGCAACTCGCCAATCACTGCTCCTCTCCGGTGAAGACTGCCGGCCGGCGTTGACCGTTGAGCATGGCTCGCCTCGCGTGGTGTATATGCCGTACTATACCTCGGTCGTGCATCCCCCACCGGAACTCGACACCTCTGTCCCAGTGCGGCTCCCGCAGCGGGCACAACACGGCGGCAGGAAATGGCTGATAGCGTTTGTCGGCAGCCGTCGGACGCACCACTCCTGTCCTGCCATCGACGAGCCACACTACCCTTCGTGGCGGCAGCGCGAGCTGCTCCTAGACGAGCTGGCTCGTGAGTGCTTGCCCGACGAGTGCCGGTGGCGGGACCTTGACGCCCCTGGCCGCGAAGCCGACCGAAACGAGGTCGGGCGCTTCGCTGAGTACTTGAAGGAGGCGATGAATCACGCGAGCTTCTGTCCTGTGCCGCGTGGGGACACGGCCTCATCCAAACGCCTCTTCACGGCCATCTCGGCGCTGTGTATCCCTGTCATCCTCTCCGACAGCGCGCCCACCCCCTTTGCCGGTGACGAGCCGGCGGGCAGCGCGTGCATCTCGCAGCTCTACCGGCAGGCCACGCTGCGCGTGCCAGCCACGCAGCTTGCCGACTCCAACTTCTCGCTCGTTCACTACCTCCGTGCGCAGCCAAATGAGACTGTCGTGCGTATGCGCGCACATCTCATTGAGCTGCGTGGCATGCTCACCTATGAGCCAGCGGTCCCGAGTGCCGGTGCCGCACCAGGTGCAGTGCCAGGCGGCGAGGAGTTGGCCGACGACTGGGCCCGTCCCTCTGCTTTGAAGCAGTTGACCCGCCAGGTGCTCTTGCGCTTACATGAGTTCCTCCCGCCAAAGGCAACGGAGGAGCAGGCTGCTAAGGCTCCAGACCATGCCTCCGGTGAAACGCCTGGTAGTGTCGCATCCACCAATACAATGTCCGCTTCCTCTGCAACCAGCGGCGGCGGCGCCGCCGCCCCCGCCGCCAACTCCGACAATGCGGCCAAATCTCTTGTTGCTACCCACATCGGGCTGGTAGGCTCAAGCTTCCCTGCTCCCCTGGAGGTGTTGCCAGCGCATCGCCGGCGCTCGCAGCAGCGCAGGTCCAAACTACTCCATCGCCATGAACTTGACGCAGAGAGAAACGCTCCCGTCACAAAGCCCGTGTTGCCGCCTGCCGGGCCGCCCACCCAGCCCCCCGCTGAGCCACCGGATTTGCCGCCCGCCGGGCCGCCTGACTCGCTGCCTGCCACTCCTACGGATCCTCCGCCGTCGCCATTGTTTCCTCCGTCGCCTCCGCCAGCTCCGCCTCTGCCGCCGCCTCCCTCCGCCTTGCCGTCGCCGCCTCCCTCCGCCTTGCCGTCGCAGCCGCCGTCCGGCTCGCCGTCGCCGCCGCCGCCTCTGCCGCCGCCTCCCTCCGCCTTGCCGTCGCCGCCGCCGTCCGGCTCACCGTCGCCGCCGCCGTCCGGCTCGCCGTCGCCGCCGCCGCCTCTGCCGCCGCCTCCCTCCGCCTTGCCGTCGCCGCCGCCGTCCGGCTCGCCGTCGCCGCCGCCGTCCGGCTCGCCGTCGCCGCCGCCGCCTCTGCCGCCGCCTCCCTCCGCCTTGCCGTCGCAGCCGCCGTCCGGCTCGCCGTCGCCGCCGCCGCCTCTGCCGCCGCCTCCCTCCGCCTTGCCGTCGCCGCCGCCGTCCGGCTCACCGTCGCCGCCGCCGTCCGGCTCGCCGTCGCCGCCGCCGCCTCTGCCGCCGCCTCCCTCCGCCTTGCCGTCGCCGCCGCCGTCCGGCTCGCCGTCGCCGCCGCCGCCTCTGCCGCCGCCTCCCTCCGCCTCGCCGTCGCCGCCGCCGTCCGGCTCGCCGTCGCCGCCGCCGTCCGGCTCGCCGTCGCCGCCGCCGCCCTCGCCGCCACCGCCCTCGCAGCCCCCCTTTTCACCCCTCCCCGACGGAATTGTCGTGGAGGAGGTGTCCGTGATCAAGTTCACCGTCGTTGTCACGATCTCCGCCGACGTGAACGACATCGACGTCACCGAACTCCAGGCCTCCTTCCGCCCTGCTCAGCAGTGCTTCATGCCAGAGTGCAAACTCACCGTGACGCTCCACCCCGTCGAGCAACCGGCAGCCCGTCGGGCACTCCAGACTGCGGAAACGACTGCTTTTAGCACGGCGAGCGTGTTCAAGGATGGTAACACTGTCGCCGCCGTGCGCAACGCGAGCTACGAATTCGCGGGGACGTCGGCCACCCAAGCCGGCAATATCCTGAATCAGCCCGTCAGCGAGGTCGACCCCGATGTCAACGAACGCGAGGACACCGAGCCGCGCGCGGTCGCGCCGCCGCCGCCCTCCGCCCCGCCCTCCGCCCCGCCCTCCGCCCCGCCCTCCGCCCCGCCCACGCCGCCGCCGCCCTCGTCGCCTTCACCTGACGTGGACCCGCAGTCCACGGACCCGCCGTGCTTCCCAAGCTTGTCGACGGTGCAGCGCGCCGACGGCGAGACCGTCCCCCTCTCCTCCCTCTCCGCCGGCGACTCCATCCTCGCCGCGGCGGCCGACGGCACCCTCCTTTTCGATGCCGTCGGTGTCAGACGTGGGGTTGTACTTGCTTTACTGTCGCTCACTTCTACTAGGCACCCTCGGCCTCGACACCGTCTCCTCCTTCTCGCTGGCCAACCCGTCCGCCAAGGCGGCCTTCTTCTCACTGACCACCGCAACGGCGACGGTGACGCTCACCCCGACGCACAAGCTGCCCGCCGGGCCGGCAAAGGAGCTCAAGCAGGCGTCCGAGGTTGCCGTTGGAGAGACGGTCTGGATCGCGTCGCCGGCCGCGGGCACGATCGTGCAGGCTCGTCTATACCCCCAGCGCCACACACCCCTGCCTCTCCCGATGCTAGCCCCCCCTTCCCCTGCCCCCTAGCCCCCCCCCCCCCCCTCCCCCTCGCCAGGCGCCCGTCCTCAAGATAACCAAGGTCGTGGCCGACGGGCTGCACAGCCCGCTCACCATGCACGGCGGCTGGCCGGTCGTCGACGGCGTCGCGACCTCGTACAACAGCGCGGCCGTCGTCGCGCGCAACAAGTACTTCGTGCCGCTCGTCGAGGCGGTCTGCCCCTCTCTCGGCCGCCTCGTCGTGGCGGCTGTGAACCCCAAGCCGATGCACTACATCGATGGCGAGGTGCGATCCCCCCCCTCCCAAACCACGCGCTGTCATTACGTATCGTTCGTCTCGTCTCACGAAACAGGTGGTCGCGCCGCTCTCCTCGCTCGACGTTGCCGCCGCCGTGGCCGCCACGGCCGCTGCCGCCCTTGGCGCGCGCAAGATCGCGGCGCGCAAGTGATAGTTCGCGTAGCTACACGCGACGGTGCGGCCGACTACACGGTAAGGCTTCGACGACCTCCCCGTATGCCTTCGAGAGAGATTTTTGAAAACAAACAAGCAATCACGACTCTCACAGTGATTTGGGCTCGCGGCTCGGCAGCTTGTGGCCCTCACCCCTCAGCCGAAGCTGGGGGCTTCGGCTATGAAGCGCACGCTTCCAGCGGCAGCGGGGCCGGGTGATATGTGCTGCACCCTGCACCTGCAGTCGTGACGCGAGTTGAACGATTTTGATTTCGTGCGTGATGACGAAATCAAAAACGATTGATGATGACATTAAAACACGGCACATCACTATCAAACTATTAGGCTATCAAACTATCAGGCTATTAGCGCTGTTATTAGCCTAATAATTAGCTTGTTATTAGCTACTCGCGTTATTAGGTACATACATGTGCTCATAATTAGGTACGTTATTACTAATACTTTAGTTTGATAGTGATGCAATTCGCAAGGTTCACCCCCCAGCGCCGCCGAAGAGGAAGGGTCATACGAGGACCTAGACAGAGCCCCGTGGATTCAAACCTACGTTTATGGTTTACCCACACTAAGCGAGTAGTCGACTAATTCACGTTTGCGAGTACGAAAAATGCTTCCCGTGCGAAAAAAAAGCTCGCAAGCACACCACCGAAAAGGGCTCGGCGAGATCTCTCGATTGGCATCACTTCCCAAAAATCGACCCCAAAATCGTCCTCCAGACCCTCCCTGGTGGCCAGAGACGCGCGCCGCAGGCGAAGCGCTCGCCGCGGACCTGCCCCGCCGGCCCCTGCCGACCACGCGTTGGCATAGCGCTCCTGAGAGCACCAAACCTCGCTCGTGTTGCCGCCGATAGAGCTCGACGCACGGCCGCAGTGGCTCGGGTTGGACGCACTGGCTTGAGCCGGCCTTTTGCTGCCCGGTGGGCGGCCGCGCTTTGGCTTGGCCGGTGGCTCCGCGGCTAGCTCAGGCGGCGGCAGCTGCTCGGGCTCGGGCAGCGCTGGCGCCATCTCCTCCGTCGGGGCGGCGGGAGAGGAGGTGGGAGCGTCGGCGGGAGCGTCGGCGGGAGGCTGAGAGGTGGCGCCATCTGAGAGAGAAGGCGGCCGGCGGGGCATGAAATCGGCGAGCGTCCGTTGGCTAGGGCCCTCCGCGGCCCGAGGCCGCTTGTTCTTCCCCTTCTTCCGTGCGCTGCTCGCACCAGAGAAGGGGAGGGTTGACTGCACCAGTGGCAGCGCCTCGCCGCTGGTGGACTCGCCCGAGCTCGACGAGTCGTCCGGCTTGTCGACGGATTCGAGGTCGCCGATGTCGTCGTCGCCCTTTTTGTCCTTCGGGTGCTCCTTGTTGAGTAGGCTCAGATTCGCTCCGCGCCCGGTCTTCTTTGCAGGCATCTCTGCAGCTCGAGGCAGCGAGAGCGGGCGCGCCGAGGACCAAACGCACCTGCGAGTGCATAGAGACGGCCGGAGATGGGTCAATCGTAGGCTACTCATGTGCCCTCGATGGATGGGAGTGGTCTGGGCGCGAACGATCGGTGTAAAATGGAGCTAAAAAAGCGCGCGTATCGCGTCATTGCGAGCGACAGCGCGTTGCTCCAGGAGGCCAGCCCCGAGATCGACCCGAGATCGACCCGAGATCGACCCGAGATCGACCCGAGATCGACCCGAGATTGACCCGAGATCGACCCGAGATCGACCCAACGCGAGGCCCCTCTGGGGGGGAGATTGACTCAACAAGGCCCCAAAGCCCCCTCTCTGGGGGACCCCTCCCCTCCCACCCCGAGTGTCCGTGTCCTTCGCGAGTCACCGATGGGGAGGGGGGGGGGGTGCGAAAGACGAACAGGGGAGGCTGGGGAGGGGGGGGTCCACTCTGAAGACTGCCGACCGCGGTGGGGTTTTGTCCCACAGGGTTTTACCCTCCGCGCGAGGATCGGCGCGGCGAGGGGGTAGGCTCGAATTCGCCGCGCAACATTTCACCCCCACAGGACCCCGCCCTCCCCCCCTCATGGTCCCACCTGGCTGACAGCCCTGACGCCCTTCACTTCGCCGAAGCCGGGAGTGGCATATGCGCTGCGTCACGCTCACGAATAGCCGTGCGCAAGTGGCGATGAGCGAGGGCTATGAATGCAACGCGCTGGACGGGGACTGATTTTGCTCGATTTTTAGCAAAACGCCCCCAAACTCTTGGGGACACCTCTCGGGTGGGCTCGGGTGCACCCGGAGAGCCCGCCGCCGTCCTTCGCATCAGGCGGGCGAGCTTGCACGCTCGTCTCTGGTGTGGCGAGGGGGGGCGTGCCATTGCCAGACGACGCACGCGTGAGAGCGTCGCAGCACGCCAGCTCGGCGCGTCGCCCAAGCGTCGGACTGGCTGCGCCGCGTGCGTGCGTGGTCCGAGGTGTCGCCATGGTGTCGCCGTGCGGCGGCGAGCAGCACGCGACCCACGCGCCGACTCCTGGCCCCTACCGGCGGTGCGGGCACCGTCAGGGCCGGCTCGGCGCGGCACGCCAGCCCTGCCAGCGCGACACGACGCACCTCCGCCCACGACGGCCCTCTGAGGGAGGACCCTCGTTGCTGGTCAGTGGCAGGCTAGTGGTGGGGAGAGCCCGCCCCCGTCCTTCGCATCAGGCGGGCGAGCTTGCACGCTCGTCTCTGGTGTGGCGAGGGGGGGCGTGCCATTGCCAGACGACGCACGCGTGAGAGCGTCGCAGCACGCCAGCTCGGCGCGTCGCCCAAGCGTCGGACTGGCTGCGCCGCGTGCGTGCGTGGTCCGAGGTGTCGCCATGGTGTCGCCGTGCGGCGGCGAGCAGCACGCAACCCACGCGCCGACTCCTGGCCCCTACCGGCGGTGCGGGCACCGTCAGGGCCGGCTCGGCGCATCACGCCAGCCCTGCCAGCGCGACACGACGCACCTCCGCCCACGCGTAGTTTTCGCCGTCCGAGTTGATGCTAAGCCGGCCGAGCGTCACCGCGTTGACTGAGTCTGACGGACTTGAGTGAGGGTCTGTTGCAGCCGCAGGTGGCACACCCTCGGAATTGGGGCGCGCTCTGACGCTCGAGGCGAGGAGACGAGGCTCGGTTTCGCTGGTGCTGCGCCCGCTAGAGGTGCCTGGGCGGGTGCAGCACGATCGAGACCGGCTCAAAAATGGCATAGATAGATAGATCTTCGGTGCCTGAAAACCAGCGCCCAAATTCTCTGTTGTCGGATTTTGTGCCACCTGCGGCTGCAACAGGCCTGAGGCGCCGCCGATAAAAAAAGGAATCAGTAAGTTTACGATCCTAGAGATATTATCTCTGGCCTAAGCCAGGCTGCTGCGTCCACCACGCCCGGCGCCGCCGCGTTCACTCCCACTAGGATGCTGCGCGCACATCAGAGGCCCCCACAAACGTTCGATGTAGTGCGAGACCTCATCATTGGCGTACCTTGACTGGTTGAGCAATCCCCTGTAGATCTCCACGGGGGCGTTACGGATCTGCTCGCGTGTCACCTGTAGCTGCTCGCCATAGTGCACGTTGCAGCCCGATGCCCACACGTGCTCCTTGATCCTCTTGAGCGGTGCCAGTGCCGCCTCCGCGTCCACCCATGCCCCCAGATTCACGTGGCCACTGCGCACGAAGGGCAAGGCCTTGCCCTCATACATGCGAGGCTTCCAGCGGGAGATGCTAAAGTCCTCGATCGTGCCACCTTTGAGATTGGCGCCCATCCAGCGGTCCCACAGGCTCTCCTTGTCGCACGTCTTGCACACAAGCTTCTCGCGGCTGTCGTGCACGCGCGCGTTCTCGCCCTCCATTCCGTTGCGCCCCGCAGACGTGAAGCGCACGTGGCGCGGCAGATCGTCATACCTCTCTATGATGTAGCGCAGCATGCCATTCACCTCCTGCCCCACGTTGGGGACGGGCCTCACATCCACGTTGGCAGCCTTCAAGGAGGGTGGCACTCCGCACTTACAGTAGACCACCACGCGGTCATACTTGTGTTGCGCCACCTTGTCTATCCATGAGGCCTCCTCCAGGCAGTGAGTCACCACGAGGTCAAACAAGTCGGGCTCGTTGCCACATTCATCCCATACAGGCGCAAGTGCGTGCAAGCCGACCACGCGCCCGTGCGAGCCGTTCAGCTCGCAGCCTGCCGCTCGGCGCTGCTTTCCAGCCCGTTTGCCTCTCCACCCGGAGTTGTCGAGCCGGCGTCGTGCGGCGTCGCCCAGATGGTGGAGGAACGGCAAGGGCGCGCCGCCGTTGGAAGGCATTCCATCGATCGGCGCGTCGAGCGTGTCGGGATGAAGGAGGTGAAACCAGACCGCCTCCATGTAGTACGGCAGCTCCGCGTGACCAGCCTCGACCAGCTCGAGCAGGCTGCGCAGCGCAGGGAGCGGCACGCGACGCAACGCCGTGCGGTCCGCGGCAAACTGCGCCCCTTGCGCGACCTGCAGGACGCGCGGCGGCGGGCGGCCAAAGAGCGAGTCGAAAAACTGGTCAAACTGGAGCATCGGGACCGTGCCCTTGCGCGAAGCGACGCCGCGAATGAACTGCTGGAAGTCGTTGGCCTCCCACGGCAGCCAGTGGTCGCCGTCGCGTCCAAGAGGCAGCCGCGAGGGCGGGCGAGGGACCCTCGCATTCGCCGCGTCGGGTGTAGCGGCGAACGCGCTGCGAAGAGAGGCGCCCTGGAGTCCGCCTCCCATCAGCATAGTCACGGGCATGAAGGTTTCGCCCAGCTCGGGATCCATGTAGTCGGCGACTGAGACGTTGAGGAGCAAGTGGCCGCCCTGCAGAGGTTCCCCAAAGAAGCCGCACGTTGGCTCGCGGCCGTGCATGAATACCGTGCGGTCCGCCAGGCTGTCATAGCGCGAGACGAGGTGATACAGGTACGCGTGCGCCTCGAGCCCCACGTTGGGCAGCTCGATGGCGCCCGGCGTGTCGCAAGCGCCGTGGCAGTAGACGGTGCGGACTGCAGCGTATGCCTCGCTCCAGCTCAGGTCCTCGCGAGCGCCGCGCACGACCACCAGCTCGAGCTGGCTCTTGTCGATGCGGCCGGCGCGAATGGAGGCTAGGCGCACCGCCTCGGGGCAAGCCACACACGTGCCGTCGTCTGCCGGCGGGGCGGCTCGCGCGCAGCGCCGTGTCGCGCCGATGACCTGACCGCCCAGCCGCACCGAGCCATCGGCAAGGCAGCACAGCTCATTCAGCCGTGGCCATTTCTGGCAGGCAGCACGGCGCAGATTGCAGAAGTAGGGATCGGCGTCCCAGTCCTCGCGCGTTTGGCCGGGATGGTACTCAGCGGGCGCACGCTGAGGCGTGCATGGCGCATCGCTACACTCGCACGGTGTCCAGGCGCATACGAGGCTCGCGAGCGATGGCTGCCGCGCGACTAGCCCAGGCACAAGACGCATGCTAGCAGCCAACTGGCCCGGGTAGCGGCATGCGCCAGTAGAGGCGTCGACCTTGCAATACGCGACTGGAGCCGCCGCGTAGCTGACATTGTTGGCTTGTAGCCATAGGAGCAGGAATCGCTCTGGAACCCACCCGGTAGCACATGCGGTGGAACCATCGGAGAGAGCCTGGCGCCAGAGCGAGCTGGCCACTCTGAATCCACGGCCTCCGCCGATGAGCATATTGTCTGTGAGCCCACCGCCCCAGCGATCGCCATCGGGCACGATCACCTCATCTGGTCCGAAGCTCCTCATCATTGCAGGTGGCAAAGGATGAAAGATCTGTTGGTCTGTCCGTGTGTACGCAAAGGTGGCGTAATCAGTTTGGGCTCCCTGTATCATTGCCAGGCACGCGTCCTGCTGTAGCCAAACCGTGGCTTGGCTCCTTGTCGCTCCTGGAAGCCCCTTTCCCAGACAGCCACGTGCACTTTCGAGCGATCGGCGAGTTGCCTCGCGGTAGAGGGAGCTCGTGGGTTTCCCCACCCGACATCGGCCGCTCGCCCGGGGGCCCAGCAAGAGCTCGCACCTTGCCTCCGTGTGGTGCTCTGCCTGGGCCTCGATCACCGCATAAGCATCAGCGTCGAGTGGATCGAGCATGTACTGCCGTATGGAGCTCGCGGACCGGTCGAGACTCCGCCACGCCCCGAGCACGCAGACGGCCATGCGTGGCTTAGCGGCGTCCGAAACTGCTGCGGTCTCGAGGTCGGAGGTCTCTTGTGGGATCGGTATTGAGTTCAACGCGTAGGCCTACAGTTGAATATGCCAACGTCAGGGTGTGAATCGGTGTGTGAGTGTCTATTCTAAGCGCGTATGCCTCGTCATCGAGTTCGGCCGGCGTGAATGACTTTGCGAACGTTGCGGGAGGCGATGTCGGCCACGGGGAGTCGTACCGCTGCGAGGAGAGAAGCGCGGAAGTGGCAGAGCACGAGGAGTGCGCAAACCCGGCTCCGAGGCAGAACAGTGCAAGGATGCCAAAGAGGCGGAGCAAGTTGTAGGACTTTGGCCACAAGAACCGGCCGGCGGCAGAGCCCTCGGGCGTGGCAATCGTGGTCGTCTCGACGTCGACCGTCGCACCCTGAACAGGAGGGCGCGAGACTGGCGGTTGAGCGGCGAGCGGGGGAGGAGGCCGCATACGCAGGCGACGAGCACCGAGTCTGTTGTCGACGGCGTGGAGCCGCCGGTCGCCTTGCCGGTGCCACCGAGGATGCCCTCGTTGCCGTCCGTTCCGAGCAGGCATCCGAACCCGTTGCCGCCGCCGACCGGGATGCTCTTGGTGCGGACGATCGGGGCGGACGCGCCCTTGCGCCCGTTCTTGCGGCGCGGGTTCGACGGGGTGGTCCAGTCGGCGATGCCCTACGCGCGCGCAAGCGGTGGGTGCGTCTGTAGTTGAGCTCCGCGTGTGCACCGCAGCGTGCGAGGCGCCCACCGCCGGAGCGGGCTCCTCCGCGGGAAACTCCTTGATCGACGGCAGCGGCGCCGGATCGTCTTCGGTGACCGGCATGGAGACAAGAGGGCCGCACCTACTCGCAGCGTGAGCAGCTTGAGAGCCCAGCCCGCGAGAAGCCGCGGCGGCGCCCCTCGCCTGGTTTTGGACCTACGAGCAGGCAGCGACGGCGGACGAGCGTCAGCATCGTAAAATGGGATGAGCATGGCGTGGGCTCGCTTCGGGCGTCGCGGGAGCGCAGTAGGCATGGAGGCGATTCGCGGCTGCGCGCTGGGCCGTCGCTCTGCCCGCGATCCGGGTGTGCACCACATTCGTGTCGCTCGAGCTCGGAGCGAGCCGCGCGCGGAGCGTTCGCAGCAAGGGGGAACAGGCACGAGCGCGCTGCAGCGCATGGGGTGTGGGGCGAAGCGGCCGGGCACGCTCGCGAAAGGCCAACACGCGCCGCGTCGCGCGGGGCGCGAGGTAGGCGAGGGGCAGAAACCTGAGTCTGAACTAGAGTCTGAACCAACCTCTGGAGGTAGTCAACCAGGCGCCGTGGCTTAGATCCTCTGGATGTCTCTGTTTTCTTTCTTTCTTTTCTTTTCAACTGTCCAGCGTCCACCCATACCGCGTTGGTGTCCAGTCCGAGCCTGGCTGTTCTTCACCTTACTACCTACCTACCTACCTTCAACTCTGCTGTTGGGGTGCATGCTCCATCCAGGATCGAGTGCCTTGCAGCAAAACTTCAGACAGAGGAGGGCGGATGCTGAAAAGTTTGGTCGAGAACGAGGACGAGTTCACTGGACGCTCGAGAGGGTGGGCGCGGCGGGGAGCGAGGTACATACAGAGAGGAGGAGAGAGGGCTTATCCGAGGAGGAGGGTGGTGATGATGCATCGACGATAGGGGGAGGAACGGAGGTGGTGGGGATGGTGCGATCAGCCGAGGAAGGAGAGGAGGGAGGAGAGGGGAAAGGAGAGGACGCTGGGCACTTCGACTCTGCGCCATGGATGAGTGCGCAGCGCGAGGAGGCAGGTGGGAGCAACCGAAGGATGATGGAGATGATTGTAGTGGAGGCGCTGAGAAATCTATGGGGAAATATCAACGAGGAACTGCTGGTGTACGAGGAGAGGCTGGAGGAGGTGGCGCAACAGGGGGAGGAGAAGCGGCGCAGGGAGACAGGGAGTCATCGTGTACGTGCGAACGAAGACGATTTGTATCGTCGGGGACAAGGGGCTCGCTTGGTGGAAGGGGCAGTGCGACAGATGGTGCCGAGAGGGGAGGAGGCGCGAATGGAGACGTCAGCTAAGAGGGAGAGGGCAAAGGTGCAGGAAAAGAAGGCGCGATCGCTGCGGAGCGCTGACACCTTACTTCAGATGGGGCCTTTTGGGTGGCGATGTTTTGTGGGCGGACCAAGGGTGGATGCGATTCGGGATGCAGAAGTCAACAAGCACATGGTGAACGGTTTGGATGGGCGTTACATGAGTGGAGAGGGGACTCGCGGCGCGGTGCGGCGGCGTCGCAAATCCGAACGCAGAGCACCGGGACGCGGTCGGGCGATCTGAGGCCCAGGTAGGCGAATGCATTGCCCATCCAGGGCTATCACCTGGACCTATCAACAAGCGCCTGCGGCGCCGTGCTCAGGAGTTGGTTTTCACTCACTCGAAATGTGGACGTAAAAGGGTTAATTCTTTTGCTTGTAAAATTCTTTTCTCGCGTGTGGCAGCCCATCGTCAATGGCCTGGCGAGTACAGACCACGCCCACTTTTTCACAGGGGGGGATCCGTTTTCGCTGCGCATGCTCGAGCCCCCCCGGCGAGGGCTTGTGCTGTGAATACTCAGCAGGCACTCGCCAGGTCCAATGGCTCTCCTGGCATTTGGACTGGCCTGCGTCGCCCACCTCGCGCCCCACCGCACTGCCCGGCCCTCAGTAGCAGTGGGGCATGGTAGTCGCTGCTCTGCCGCCGCGACGGCTGCTGGCGCGCCCGACGGCGGCGGAGGCTTCCGGGCCCTGCTCCCGTCGCTCCCAGCTGCCGCCGCCGAGTCGCTCTCGGCGCGCGGGATCGACACGCCGACGCCCATCCAGGCGGCGGCTCTCGCCCGCGTCGACGCGGGCGAGTCGCTGCTGCTGCACGCCGAGACGGGCTCGGGGAAATCGCTCGCGTTTCTGCTGCCGGCGCTGCGCCACATCTCGCCGCGCTCGAAGCTGCTGCTCATCGCGCCGACGCGCGAGCTCGCGGTCCAGCTGGCCGCCGAGGCGTCTCCGCTGCTCCCCGCCGGCGAGACGGTCGCCATCCTCTCGGTTGGCTCTGCGCCCGCGCCGCGCGAGGTGATGGCCGCGTCGGTGCTGGCGTGCACCTCCGAGGCGATGGCCGAACAGGCGCCGGGAGCAGAGAGACGCGGCAACGTCGCGCGCACCCGGCGTACCCCTCGCCGTCCCCACGCGCCTTCCCCCCGCCCCCTCCGCAGCTCGCCGCGTCCGGCGCCGTCGCCTCGTCCCTCGATCAAGCGCTCTGCGACCTCCGCCTGGTCGTGCTCGACGAGATCGACTGCCTCCTCCCTGTTGAGACGTTCCGCGGGCCTCGCGCCGAGCGGCAGCGCCGCGCCGCGAACCGCGACGCCGCGCCCCCGCCCGCCGAGGCGCTGCTCCGCCGAGCCATTGAGCGCTGCGGCTCGAGGGAGCTGCAGGCCTACATCCCCTGCTCCGCCCGAGATTCCGCCGAGATTCCGCCGAGAGGCCGCCGAGAGGCTGCCGAGAGGCTGCCGAGATACTGCCGAGATGTCACCTCGTGCGGCGAGCTGCTCTCGCGGGCGGCCGATGCGACTCGTGCGCCGCCCGCGACACGCCCGCGACACGCCCGCGACACGCCCGCGACACGTCCACCACATGCACATGCACATGCACATGCACATGCACATGCACATGCACATGCACATGTGCATGCGCATGCTACATGTACATGTCATGTTGTCATGTGCATGTGCATGTCCCCGGGAACCACGCCAACGCCACACGGCTGCCGCCGACAAAGTCGAGCCGCTGCACCCACCACCCCACCACTCACGACTTGCCTCTCACTCACCGCCGACCGCCAACCACCAAACGCGCCTGCGCAGCACTGCGCCTGCCTGACCATGCGCGCCCGCCCTTTGCCCCCGCCGCGCCCTCTCATCTCACCCCGTCCCCACGGCACACCCCCGCACACCCACCGCTCGCTTGCCGGCATGCTGGCGGGGGATGCTCACGACACCCTCCACAAGAGACTCCAGATGACACTCCTGCGACACGCCCGCGACGCGCCCGCGACGCCCGCGACGCGCCCGCGACGCGCCCGCGACACGCCCGCGACGCGCCCGCGACACGTCCCACACCCCCGCGACACGCCCGCGACGCGTCCTTGCAGGTCGTCGCTGCGTCCGCCACTCTCTCGCGCGCGTCGCGCAACAAGCTTGGCCGGGTGCTGCGCGCAGACCCGCTCGGGCGGTGGTACGGCAACCCGCCCGCCGTGGTGCGGCCCGCCCAGCTCTCCTCCTCCGACCTCTCCGCCGTGCCGCGCGCCGTGCCCCCCCCCGCCTCGATCCGGCACAGCTACGTCCGGCTGCCGCTCCGCACCGCCCGCTTCGCCCACGTGGGCACTGTCGCCCACGAGCGGGCCGCCGCCGGTAAGGCGGGCCGCGCCGCCGCGCCGCTGGCCGCCCGCGGGCGCCGCGGAGAGGGGCGCGGCACCCTCAAGGAGAAGCGGAAGGCCAAGCTGGCACGCGCGGCGGCAGAGGCGGCCGCGCTGCGCGAGGCGCGCACGCACCCTCTGCTCAGGGCGCTGCAGTGCGCGCTGCGCGAGCAGCGGCCGGCGTCGGCGCTCGTGTTCTTGTGCCGCTCCTCCGGCCTCACGGTGCCCCCTCGGCTGCGGCGGCCCAACCCACGGTCTTGCCCTCTCTGGACGCACGCCTCGCGCTGCGGCGTGTCAATAGGTGCGGCGAGCCTCGAAGCAGCTCAAGGAGCTCGGGTTGCCGGCGGTGGCGCTCCACGAGGCAATCGGGCTGGAGCACGACCGCAGCCCATCCGCGTCGCCGCCCGCCGCCGCCGCGCTCGGTGGAGGCGGCGGCGGCGGCGGCAACGAGTGGTGGCTCAGGGCGGAGGGAAACGGAGTCGTGCTGCGCGGCGACGGGGCTGTGGCCGAGGCGGGGGTCGAGGCGGGGGTCGAGGAGGGGGCGGAGTACGCGGGGGAGGAGTACGCGGGGGAGTACGACGGCGACGACGACGACGAGCAGGAGGAGCACGGCGTCGGCGGGCGAGGAGACTCATCGAGCGACCGCTTGCGGCAGCGGCAACGGGAGCTCGCGGCCTCCTTCCGCACTTCGGCCGGGCTCCATGCCGTCGACGAGCCGGCGGCGGATGCGGGCCAGCCGGCGGAGGCGCCTCTGGTGGTCACATTCGAGGACATGGCGCGCGGCCTCCACTTCGACGGCGTCGAGACCGTCTACATCCTCGGCTTGCCGGACTCGCCCGCCACGTACCTGCACCTCGCGGGGCGCACCGGCAGGCAGCCTGTCTTGAGCGGCACCGTCGTGACTCTCTGCCCGGGTAACTCGCACCAGCAGCTCACGTCGTGGGCCCAGCGCCTCGGCGGCGTCGAGTTCGAGCGCATCGAGCTCGACGGGTTGGAGGAGGCGCTTAGTGCATCCGCCTGACGTACGACTGTCTGGAGAGAGAGCGGAGACCACAAAGCCGTAGTAAAGGGTCCAGAAAAGGGTGAAGAGGATAGAGCGCAGCGAGAGCTGAGAGGTTGACGGAGGGGGTGCGTCAGAATTGAATAATTAAATAAAAACGGACACCTCTACTGTGGGATGGGGGTACGTTAAAAAAGCGGAACATAGGTCAGAATGCAAGGCCGTGCAAGATAGAGCGTAGTACCGTCCGCTGCGCGGCGTCCGGGCGTGCAGCGTGGCAGACGTCTGCCCGATAGCCCCACGCCGCACACGCACAGGCGAAATCACAATCTCTCGAGGCGCTTGGGGAGATTGCTCGACTGAACAGAAGGTGGGTGTGCAAAACACCGGGTCGGCGCCAGGCTTAGACAGCCAGTCGCACGACGGTCGACTGGTCACAGTCTCATCACGAACACGTTCTAGTCGTTCCCCTTCCTCGTAGCTTGCATCGCTGCTCGCCTCACTCCAGTTGCTCCTCCTCGTCGACCCCTGCTTCGTTTAGCCTGATTAACGTCACTCGGCCTTGGCCCACTGAAACGCTCCCCTCGCAAGTCCACCGTCGTCCACCCCATGAACCTGTCGATCTCCTCGTCGCCCACGCCCTCGTTCCCCATGTACTCCAGCATAAGCTCGTCGTCCTCCTCAGCATAGCTCCCTCCTCCCACCATGTCGCCTCTCGACTCCGCTCCATCAAGCCCACTCCGCCCACTGCTCCCCGCTGCCTCGCTATCCCCTCCCCTCTCCACTTCCATCTGAACTTCCTCTCTCTGCTCGCCACTGACCGACTGATTGACCGACTGACTCAAGTACTCATTGACTGAATGACTGCCTTGACCCCACTCTGAATCTGAAATTCTCTCTCTCTCTCTCTCTCTCTCTCTCTCTCTCTCTCTCTCTCTCTCTCTCTCTCTCTCTCTCTCTCTCTCTCTCTCTCTCTCTCTCTCTCTCTCTCTCTCTCGTGTCCTCCACAACTTCCCCATCCCCAACCATTTAGGGCGACGAGGACGCCGACCTGCGAGTGGGATGCGTATGCGTGTATGAGCGGCTCCATCGGCCCAACAGCGCTAGCCGCCCTGGCCGCGGGCGGCCTGACCTTGCTGCGCGCCCTCCTCTCCGGGCGGACGCGCGGCGCGGCGCTCACGGCCCTGCTCGACGCGCGGCTCGACGGGCTGGACACGCTGCTGACCTGGGCCGCTCGCCACGGGCAGGCTGAGGCGGTGCGACTGCTGCTCGACAGCGGCGCGAGCGCGGGTGCGGCTGACGGCTACGGCGCTACCGCGCTGTACACCGCGAGCCAGGAGGGCCACGTCGAGTGCGTCCAGCTGCTTCTCGAGACCAGCGCGGCGGTCGACCAAGCCCGCAATGGCGTGCCGCGTGCCAGCAGGGCCAGCTCGAGTGCGTCCGGCTGCTCCTCGAGGCCAGCGCGGCGTTCGACCAAGCTGATGAAGAAGGCACCACGCCTCTGTACGTCGCGTGCGAGTGCGGCCACCTCGAGTGCGCCCGGCTGCTCGTGAAGGCTGGCGCGGCGATCAACCAGGGCGAGGAGACTGGAGCCACGCCGCTGTTCATCGCGTGCGAGAGCAACCACCTCCAATGCGCACAGCTGCTTCTCGAGGCTGGCGCGGCGATCAACCAGGCCGGCGAAGAAGGTTTGACGCCGTTGCGAGAACGGCCACCCCGTCGTCGTGCGCTTCCTGCTGCGGGCGGGCGCAGACGCAGCGGCGCGCACCTTGTGGGAGGGGCATACGGCGCTGCAGCTTGCCAAGGAGAAGGGCCACGCCGAGTGCGAGCGCGCTTTGGAGGCGGCGGCGAGGGAGGTCGAGGCGGCGCGGCACGCTGAGGAGCTGGCGGAGGAGGAGGCGGAGGCGCGCGCCAAGGAGAAGAAGAAGGGCAAGAAGAAGGGCAAGAAGAAGAAGAAGGGCAGCGGCGGGGGCGCTGGGCCGTCGCAAGAGGCCGAGGCGGCGGTGGGAGAGGAGGAGGAGGATGGGGCGGCGGCGGGAGAGGAGGAGCAGGACAGGGCGGCGGCAGAGGAGGAAGAGGGCGGGGCGCTGGCGGCGGCGGAGGAGGCGGAGCTGGCGGCGGCGCTCGAGGAGAGCGCGAGGCTGGAGGAGGATAGGCGGGCGGCGGAGGCGCAAGGGCCGTCGGCAGCTGCAGAGGCGCCGGCTGCGAGGGAGGAGGAGCCGCCGGCCGACTTCATCTGCCCGATCACGACCGAGCTGATGATTGACCCGGTGATGGCGGCGGACGGGCATGCTTACGAGCGGACGGCGATCGAGCGCTGGCTCGCGACCAAGTCGACGAGCCCGCTGACGGGCGAGGAGCTCGAGCACACTTTTCTCTCCACCATCCACGTTCTGCGCCGGCAGATTCGAGAGTGGCAGCAGGCGGCTTGATGGCGCTCGAGCGAGCGGGGAGGGTGGGTGGGGGGTGTCGACAAGGGTGTTGACGTGGCCAGCGCGCGCACACATGTGCATGTAGCATGTGCAAGTTGTGTGTGTCCTTCCCGACCTCATGAGGAACCAGCCCGTGCCTCCCCGACGCCCGAGCCTATATATCGCGTTCCCCCCCCGCTCCAGGGTTTTCCAAGATCCAGCCGTGTCAGGGCGAGGCGGATGGAGAAAGAAGTGCCGAGGAGGCCATGGTGGAGGGGAGGGACGGGAGGACGAAAGAAGGGCGAGGAGGACGAGCGGCCCCCGCACAGGCCGCGAGCAGACGCAGCGCCCCCTGCTGCGTGCTGGCCATCTCTCGAGACATTCGCAAAGAACGCTAGCTACATGGGAGGGCTTCGTGAAGGATGGATTGAAAAACATACGAACAAAGAAGAGGCGGCGGGAGGAACCGGCAGAGGATGCAGTGACGTGACACACACACACACACACACACACACACACACACACACACACACACACACACACACACACACACACACACACACACACACACACACACACACCGCTCACCCACGCGCACCGGGCCTTGCACTTTAAATGCCGTGGGGCTCCTGTCGTTAGACGTGGAGACGCGAGGGTTGCCCCCCCTTGCCCCACCACCTCGTGTGTGTGGAGAAGTTTACCTTACCTTACCTTACCAGCCGTGTCACTGTCAGGAGCTGTAGAGGGTCCACTTCGAGCGCCTGCAGCTTATCCTTGCCGGCGACCGGCGAAACCGCCTGGACGACGCCGACGACGAAGGCCGGCATGAGTTGGTGATGCTGCGCGTGAGGAGAGTGGGAGCGAAGGACTGATTTCGGAGCAGACGCGGACAGGGGAGGCACCGACAGCACGCGGACAGGCAGGCTCCAGGCTCTCGTGTCTCGAGCAGGCACACACTCAGGCGGGCGAAAAGAAAAAATCAGGCCAAAAAGAAATCGGACTTGGATCTTGCCAGCCGGCGAAGCACAGCATCGGCAGCAGTAGTATAGAAGATCCATGCATCGTAAACTCCTTTTAAAAACAACCTTTTTTCCGAACGGCCAGCTTGCTACTAGACGTCGTGGTCCGGGTGGGCGCGAGAGGCCATGGTGCTTGGTGGGTGGGCTCCGCCTCCGGAAGGGGAAGGGGGCGGGGTGACGGATGAGAAAGTGCATGTACAGAGAGGCTACATAACCACTCACCGCAGCTGCCCTACTCCGTCTCGCGAGCGATGGCGAAGCCCAAGACGCAGTGGCCAAAGTCGAGCGCCGCGATGCCGTTCGTGGTTCCTGCCGAGTCGAGGTGGTACCGCTCGTGGATCTCGTAGAGCGAGAGAACGAGGAGCGCCGCCCGCGCGCGGGCCGCCGCGGGGAAGAGCGAGTGGCTTGCCGGCGACCACGGCGCCGCCGCCCGCCGGACCAGCGCCGCCGCCTCGCCCTCGCCGCCCGCGGCGCGCTGCAGCGGCGTCGGCTCGCCCTCGTGCAGGCTTGCGCCGCCGCGGAGGAGGGAGGTGGTGCGGGCGGCGGTGAGGGTCTCAAGGTGCGCGAGCGGCGTCCAGCCGCGGATCGCCGCGCTGGCCTCGAGAAGCAGCCGGACGCACTCGAGGTGGCCGTTTAGGCTCGCGATGAACAGCGGCGTGGCGCCGTCCTCGTCCGCTTCGTTGACCGCCGCGCCAGCCTCGAGAAGCAGCTGCACGCACTCAAGCTGGCCTCTCTCGCACGCGATGTACAGCGGCGTGGCGCCGTCCTCCTTGGCTTGGTTGACCGCCCCGCCAGCCTCGAGGAGCAGCCGGGCGACCTCGAGGTGGCCGTTCTGGCACGCCATGAACAGCGGCGTGGCGCCGCTCTGCTTGGCTTGGCCGACCGCCGCGCCGGCCTCGAGAAGCAGCCGAACGCACTCGAGCTGGCCCTCCTGGCACGCAACGAACAGCGGCGTGCAGCCGCTCTCCTCGGCCTGGTTGATGTCAGCGCCAGTGTCGCGCAGCAGCCGCGCGATCTCGAAGTGGCCCATGTAGCACGCGACGTATAGCGGCGTGAGGCCTTCAGCGTCTGCATGAGCCACCGCCGCGCCAGCCTCGAGGAGCAGCCGGGCGATCTCGACGTGGCCCTTCTGGCACGCGACAAGCAGCGGCGTGGCGCCGTTCCGATGGGCTTGGTCGGTCGCCGCGCCAGCCTCGACGAGCAGCCGCACGCACTCAATCTGCCCCTGCTGGCACGCGATATACAGCGCGGAAGCGCCGCCGCCAGTCGTCGCCCCGACGCTCGCGCCGCCCTCGAGCAGCAGCCGCACCGCCTCGGCCTGCCCGTGACGAGCGGCCCAGGTCAGCAGCGTGTCCTGCTTCTCGGTGTCGTGCCGCGCGTCGAGCTGGGCCGCGAGCGACATGCCGCGCGTCCCCTGCCCGGAGAGGAAGCCGCGCAGCGAGGCCAGGTCGCCACGAGCCAGGTCGGCGAGGCAGCGGGTTGGGAGGAGGGCGCCGCTCATGCCGCCAGAAAGAAGAAAAACCCCTCTAGAGACTGGCAAACTTCTACAAAAATTGTCAGCGTTTTCAAACCTCACTCACATCTCAGTCAGGGCCGCCCAAGCCCATTAAGGCTCGCGGCCTCGAGCATCGCCACCTCAGCCGCGTCGATCACGCGCTTCCGCTCCTCGTCGGCCGCCTTCAGGCGATTGCGCTTGAGAGGGAGGTGTGGGACGACGGACGGGGAGTGCTTCGGTGGGCGTCGTCCTCCCCCGCCTCTCGCCGCAGGCCGCGCGTCCCACGTCGCGCGCCCAAGGCGCCGGCGCGCGAAGCCGCGACGCGGCGGCGGGCTCGGAGGCGGCGGCGAGGGTGGCGGCGGCGAGGGCGGCGGCGGGCTGGGCGGCGGCGGCCACGGCGGCGGCGGCGGGCTCGCAAGCCGGAGGCGGCGGCGATGGAGGAGGAAGCGGGACGGCGGTGGTGGCGGTGGGATGGCGGCGGAGGTGTGCGATGGTGCCGCTGGCACTGGCGGAGGCCGCGCACGCGCGCGCTATCCGGGACATGAGCTCCACTCCGCTGGAGCGGCAGCGTGGCGTGGCGGCAGGGCGGCGACAGAAGTACAGCGTGGCGTGGCGGTCGGGCGGGAAAGGGTGTGGGTCTCGAGAGGCCGTGGGTGGTGGACCTCGCGCCGCCTCAGTTCCGCATGGGCGCCCCTCAGTTCCGCATCCGCGCCGTCGTGCTCCATCGGAAGCGTGTGGTCCGAGGCCTGCCGCACGCCGCCGCGCGCGCCCAAGCCGGCGGGGCACGCGCCCCAGATGTACGCGAAGGGCGCGAGCCCAGACTCGGGCGGCGGGTCGAGCGAGTGCCTGCCTCGCAGCGTGGTGTGTGGTGGAGCACGCGCAGGCCGGCCGCGGCGCCAGGTTGTCGAGGAGGAGCAAATCGTGCTGGCGGTAGGTGTGGAGCGCGCGGTGCGGCGCCTGCTCTCCGTCGCGAGGAGGCGTGAGGAGGCGCGCGCTCGTCCAGCGAGGGCAGTTGCGGTGCGGGCGCTGCCGACGAGAGCAGCGCCTCCAGCTGCCCCGCGAGCCGGCGCACCGCCCCGCGGCCCAGCAGCCGGTGTCCGAGCGCGGCGCTCGGCGCGACGGCCGGGTCCATCGCCTCGAGGGGCGGCGCCGGGAGCGCTGGGGCGGTCGGCCAGCGCGCGACCGCGCCTACGCTCGCCCCCCCCAAAGGGTTTCCTCCTCTCTCCGGGCGGCTGGCCGGCGGCCCCTTCTCTCTGGGGCGGCGGCCCGTCTGGCCGAGGTGGACGAAGAGCGTCCTGCGGCCTGTGCGAGGGTGGAGGTGGACGAGCGGGTGGACGGCGCCGGAGTAGGCGTTGACAGTCGCCAGCCGGCTCCACGCCTACCGAAGGACGTGACCGGGCTCGACAGAGAGCTCGTGGCGCGCGGTACCTCTCCCGCGGGCCCGCCGCCTCCCGCTGCGCCGCGGGCAGGGCGTCAAAGGCGGCGAGGTGGGACATCTCGGTCCCGCCGCCGACGCGCGGGGCACGGCCTGCGCGTGGAAGAGCACGTGCGAGAAGACCCGCCGCTCGAAGCTTCCGTCGGCGTGCCACTGCGGCCCGACTCGCATGACTCCGTGCTCCTCCCGGTTTGACAGCCGGAGGAGGAGTGCTTGGCGGCGGCGTGGCAGGTGTGCTCGGCGGCAAGCCCGCCAAAGTACTCGCTCACCGCACGCAGCGTCGTGCCTGGCAGAGACTGGTTCCGAAAGACCAGGTAGCCTGCTCCGCGCGGCGTCGGCGAGGCAGGCGAGGACTCGCGCCGTCGGCCGGTGGCCAGCGAGGTTTGGCAGCCCGTGCACGACGGCGCCAAAGGGCTGGAGCCGCTCCAGGCGGAAGTCGGCCGCAGTCGGCGGGCAGAGCGGTGGTTTAGGGCTCCGCCCGGGTACATCCCTGCGCGCCGGAATCAGAGTCGTGGATATGAGAGACCGGCGACGTGGGACGCCCGCTCGGCGGCGAGAGGCGGAGGAGGGCGCCGGGCGGGCGGAGGGGGAGGGCGAGGGGCGGCGGCCGACCAAAGGGCATGGATTGATCGAAACTCCTCGGGGCGAGCGCGCCGCTGCAGGGCTTTGCCCCTCACCCGCTTCAGGAAAGGAGGCAAAATGGGAGAGGCGGTTTGCACAGAGCCCGTCAACCAACCACTCTCAAACAGCCATGGCACGCACCAAGCAGACAGCGCGCAAGTCGACCGGCGGCAAGGCGCCCCGCAAGCAGCTCGCCACCAAGGCGGCGCGCAAGTCGGCCCCCGCCACCGGCGGCGTCAAGAAGCCGCACCGCTACCGCCCGGGCACCGTCGCGCTCCGCGAGATCCGCCGCTACCAGAAGTCGACGGAGCTCCTGATCCGCAAGCTGCCCTTCCAGCGCCTGGTGCGCGAGATCGCGCAGGACTTCAAGACCGACCTGCGCTTCCAGTCGTCGGCCGTCGTCGCGCTCCAGGAGGCGTCCGAGGCCTACCTCGTCGGCCTCTTCGAGGACACCAACCTGTGCGCCATCCACGCCAAGCGCGTCACCATCATGCCCAAGGACATCCAGCTGGCCCGCCGCATCCGCGGAGAGCGCGCCTAAGCCTCACCCAATTCCCGGTGTTTCTAAACACCACCCTTCTACCCTGTTTGTTGGTTGCTCCAGTCCGATCCTGGCTGTTCTTCACTTTCTACCTCTCTTTCTACCTCTCTCTCTCTCTCTCTCTCTCTCTCTACCTCTCTCTCTCTCTCTCTCTCTCTCTCTCTCTCTCCCCTCCACTCTACCGACCCGTTTTAACGATTTCTTGCACCTCGTGTGTGTGGAGAAGTTTACCTTACCTTACCTCCGTTCCAGCTCTCTCTCTCTCTCCTCTCTCTCCTCTCTCTCTCTCTCGCGCGAGAGCCGCCGTCGTCAGGACACTCAAGGACACCGCCCAAGGCGCTCTGCCATCGCTCAGAGTCCCGAACCATGTGATTATCCGCGCCCCCGCGCCCGAGTTGCGAGTACGCGAGTAGTGTCTCTGTCTACATTAGGTCGGTCGTGGTCGTCCCGGGGGACGATTTTTCAAAGTGAATAGTACGGCATAGAAACTGCAAAACAAGATGCGTTAGCCCGAAAGAAACACATAGACACCCACCGATGGGTTGCCATCCCTCAACACAAGTGGCCCACCCTTCACACTTTGTCGCGCTTCGGGGGCAGGGCGGGCGGGTGGTGGGACGGGGCACGGGCTCGCACGCAAATGGCTCTCTCGCACCACCTCATGGCACGCGCACGGTGGCAGAGGACGCGCGCTGCTCACTCCTCCTCGCCCTGCTCGCCCTCCTCCGCCTCCAGCTCTGCCGCCGCATCGAGCTCCGCCTCGTACGCGTGTGGCTGTGGGCGACGGAGCCGCCGCAGCGGCCTTCCGCCGTAGGGGCGACGGCGGCGGCGGCAGCGGGCCGGGCGGCGGCGGCGACAGCGACGGTGGTAAGGGCGGCAGCAGCGATGAAGGCGGCAGCGAGGGCGGCGGCGGCGACGGCGGAGGCGGGCTCGGTGGAGGCGGCGACGGTGGAAGCGGCGAGGCGGCGACAGTGATAGGTGGCGGCGGTGAGGGTTGCGACGGCAAGGGCGGCGACGGCGAGGGCGGCGGCGGCGGCGAGAGGGGGAGGCGGCGACGGCGGCGCCGGGCTGGGAGGCGCCGGGCTGGGCGGCGGCGGGCTGGGCGGCGGCGGGCTGGGCGGCGGCGGCGGCGGCGGCGGTGAGGGCGGTGGGGGGCTTGGAGTCGGCGGGCTCGGTGGGGGCGGCGACGGTGGAGGCGGCGAGGGCGGCGGCGAGGGCGGCGGCGATGAGGGCGGCGGCGGCAAGGGCGGCGGCGTATG